TCCATCGGGTTTGTATGTAAGCCAGGGGACATTTCACTTAGTGATTGGTGTGGGAGGGCCCAGCTCACTGGGGTCCTGGATGGTGTAAGAAAGTAGCCTGAGTCAGCCATAAGGAGCCTTAAAGTGTTCTTCTATGGCCTCTGTCAGTTCCTGCCCTGATACCCCTCAGTGATGGAGAGTGGCCTGAGCATTGAAAGATGACGTAAACCCGCCCCTCCCCCAGGGTGCAATAGTAACCCTAACTAAGGGACTTAGCCACTGAGCCATCTCCTTCAACCCAGCCTTGGGCTTCTTAGTTGTAAGATGGGGCCTGCCTTGCACTGAAGGACTGTAATAAGAACACAGGGCTGTGTGGCTTTCCTCTGTCCACAGGTGCTAAGGCAGCCTTTGGCGTCACTGCCTCCACAGACTGCCACGGAGCTCTCCTGGGCCCAGGTATAGGACGCAGATAACCTGGGGAGGTGATGGTATGGTCGGCATGGGTCAGGTCAGGTGCCCCAGGGTGGACCTCTGCCTCTTGCTTCCTCAGAGCTGCTCCCACTCCTCACTGGTTTGGGGCGCTCAGCATGGGACTGATGCCCCCTCTGGCATTAGCACCTGGAGAGCACCTTCTGTCTGGAATCCTGACAGTGTGCCCCACGAAGGGCAGCATGGCCCCAAAGGGAGCAAAGGAAAGTAATATCACCTCATGACGAACACCCCCATCCACCTTCTGCGTGTCTGTGGACACGCTCCCCCAGTCTCTCCAGCTGCCACCTAGACAGGTCCTATTGGAAGCCCCTGGCCACCCCTCCTTCTGTGCGCACCACACCATGTCTCTTGTGCCCCAGCAGTGTGCTTCCAAGACCCCCAAAGGCAGTCAGTCAGGCCCTGAGGCACTTCTGCTCATGCAGTCAGGCACTGAGGCACTTCTGCTCGTGTGCGTACACACTGCCTTCCTGCACGCGGTGGGTGGGATGCCAGCCAAGGAACGAGTTAAAAGAGAAGGTGGCCTTAGATGAATCGTGACTGCCCAGCCATGACTGAGGGCCTGGGGGGCCCACTAGGTTCAGAGCTTGTGCCTGGGACCCAGCCTGCTGAGGTGGAGAAGCCACTTGTGAAGGCCCCGCCCTTCTGTTTTGTCTACCTGCTCTCCCATGAGGTCTACCTGGCCTTCCAGTCTTCAGGAGGCACCGTGAGAATGGCAGCAATATCACACCGCTCCGCAAGGCTTAGGCAAAGCTTGGCCTCCATCACACACAGCTTAGCAGCAAACACAGCTGCCACCCAGGTACATGGACTGCCTCTTCAGAAGCGATGGGAACGGCATCACATTTCAGAGCCACATTTAGGGGGTGGGATTATAACCCTTTTCACTTCCTGCCTCTCGTTGGTCAGCGCTAACTCTGGGGCATTGATTCAACCCCCTACCCCCAACACCATTCTGGGACAGTTACTAGGCCCCTTGCATAGCTAAAAGGCCCAACGTGGACAGTAGACGGTGTGTAGGCTTGGTGGGCCTGAGTGACACATCTATCAAGTGTCATTTATGGAGAACTGTGCATTTCCACAGAGAGATGACAAGGTGAGGTTGGAGGGACTGGTGTTCCCAGCAAGTAGACCTTTGTTCCCCTGAGGGCGAGTACACTAGAGGTCCCTGTGTGGCTTGGCTGGATCTTTGTGAGGCTATGAGTTAGGTGTCTTTTGTGGCTGGGTCTCTCTGAGGAGGCTCAGTCATTTGAGTGTCAATTCTAAGCTCACTAGGGATTGTGACAGAACCTAGTACCTGGTGGCTGCACACCAGACAGCTTCTATTCTCCTTGAATAGAAGGCAATCTTACAGATCCTTGATGCATGGGGCTCCCTAGAAGGCTACCTGTCTCCTCAAAAACAACTGAGGAAATGGAGAGCTTAGCAAGACATTATCTTGTACTGATGGACACTCAGTCATGTGTGCCTGTCTTGTTTACTTCTCTTAGTTAGAAGTCTATGCTTGATCAATGGAACACACCAGGCTGTGAATGTCCCAGGTGGAGGTTGTGGAGCCATCTTAAGTGTCTGTCACTAGGCTGGGTCTGTAATCCCAGCTACTTAGGAGGCTGAGACAGGATCAAAAGTCCAAGGCTTGCTTGGGCTGTAGAGTGGGTTCAAAGACAGCCTGGGCAACTTGGCGAGACTGTGTCTGGAAATAAAGAGGGCTAGGGCTGTAGTTCAGTGGTATAGTGCTTGCCTAACAGTCAGAGACACCTGGGAGAGTCCAGAGCAGACATGACCAGACTAAGCTGGATGGGGAAGACAGGGTGGGGGCAGGGGAGAGAAGGGAACCAGGTACAGCAGCCAGGAGGCCAAAGGTACAAAAAGGGGCCGGTAATGGAAACATTTGGATTATATAGAGAAGAGCCTCTGGGGGAAGGACAGCCCAGCCCCAGGTCAGGTCAGTTCAGGGGAGAGGGTGGGGAATGCCAGCCTTACCCTGTAACAGGTAGGGACTGAGGGATGCTGGGAGAACCTGGAGGTCAGGTCCCCTTTGATATGTTAATAGGCGCCTCAGCTGTTTGTCCCAGATTCGAAACTTAATGCAGTTGTCTCGGTGTTGAAGCTTTTCCAACCTTAAAAGGCACAGCCTTCAGCTCGGCTACCAGCTATTCAGTTATCCGGAAAATCCCCATCCCTAGAATACCCAGGGACACTGAGCCTGGTTGGAAAAGGTGAAACGGGTTCCCCCCTCAGGTCCACACTTCTGGGTTTGGCCAAAGGATGGAGGGGCTCCCCACGTCCCTGCTAGCCCTCATCTGGCTTTGTCCCTCACTCTCTCCTTCCCCTCTTCTGCCTGCCTGGCCTCACGTGGACTCAGCCAGTGTGTCAGGAGGTAATTGACTGACTGCCCGGCCCAGGGCAGGCTCTGCTGAGCCCATCAGGGCAGGGACAATGAAGGGGCACCTCAGAGGCAGAAGGCTATTTCTAAGGCTCACGGCTGATGAGCTGCGATTATCATTTTAATTTCAAGGCTGTCACCTTATAGTCAGGGTGTCCCTTCCGAAGAGCACAAAGCCCTCTGCAGCCTTCAAAGGAACCTCAGAGGGTTGGGTTGGTGCTGCAGACCAGGAGGTACCCAGGGCATTTATAACTTTCCTCTTTGCTCTGTGCAGTCAGACCCTCTGCCAAGGCCTGACCATGGCCTCGCTGCCCCTGGGACCACTCCTCACACCCATGCACTTTCCCCTTTCTCCAAGGTAGGGCCCGCCTACTATCTGGAATTCCTTGAAACTCACCTAGCTTCTGGTTTGCCAAACAGCAGCAACTGTAACAACTTAGCAGGAAATTCTCACAGCTCTCTGGGTTTGGAGCTGTGAAAAAGCCTTCACACTCCTCCTGTTACTCCCAGTGGGATGCACTGTGTTCCTGAGGGGTGAGAAGCACATCTTGGATTTCTCCATCCTCCTGCAGACAGGATGAGGATTTTGCACACGCTGTTCTTTGCACTTGGCTCCTGCGATCTGTTTCTTCAGTTGTGTGTTGCATTTCTTAAGCACTCCAGAGCAGAATACTCGATGCTTCTTTTTGTTTGCTTAGAGTTAAGTGGTGTAATCCATTTAAATCCCTTCTGTTTGTTACACTGAGAATGCTTAGTATACATAAGCCCTTCCTGCAGCTCAGAGCTCATCTGGAGTTCATGACCAAAGCAAGATAGTCAGCCCTTGGCTGGTTTCCCTCCCTCCCTCTCTTCCTCTCTCCCTCTCTCTCTCCCTCTCTCTCTCCCTCCCTCCCTCCCTCCCTCCTTCTCTCCCTCCCTCCTTCTCTCCCTCCCTCTCTCCCTCCCTCCTTCTCTCCCTCCTTCCCTCCCTTCTTCTGCCTCTTTCATTCCCTTCTTTCCTCCCTCCCTTCCTCTTTTTCTCTTCTTTCCTTCACCCCCCCAGTAGTGTTGGGAGTGAAAGCCAGGGTCACATCATTAAGGGCCACTGAGTCCCCTCCCCCACAGCTTTCGGTGGTTGTTTTGAAAGATGGGCATGCTCCCATGATCAAGTCTTTCTTAACGAGCGGGCAGCTCTGAGAGTTGCATCCAGTTTGTACTAGGCTAGTCTGTAGCCAAGTCCCAGCTTGGTGAGGGTGGGCAAGTCCCTGATTCTGCTCTGGGTAAACAGTCTCCACCTCCCTGAAGATTGTCCTTTTTCCTGGCTAAGCCTGCTGTCAGTATTTAGGCGATTTGTACTGGCCTGCCCTTGGAGTTCTAACAGGGCTGCAGCCTCTAAGAACACCACCTGTGCATATTCACTGTGTTCCCTTTTAAAGGGGCCTGCCCACCTCCCATCCTTCTCTTTCACTTCCTCTCTCTCTCTCTCTCTCTCTCTCTCTCTCTCTCTCTCTCTCTCTGCCTCTTTCCTGCTCCTGTCCCTGAAGGCTGGTCTCCCCCTCCCCTTTCTCCTTTTTACCATCCCTTTCCCCTAATTAAAACAATCCCTCTGTCGCATGGTATCTTTCTCTTGAGCTACTTTAAATATATATATATATATACATATACATACATACATATATATATACATATATATATATATATGTATATATATATATATATATCCCTTCTAGCTTTCTGCAGTAGGCTTGGAAGAGCTGAATGTCCTGGGTCTGAGGTTGTCTACAGGGTCTGAGAGGCCGGTTACTGCATTCTGTTAAAGGGTCAACAAGATTGATTGGGTGGGGCTTTCCTTTTTAGCTATGTCTTGAGCCTCACTCCCATGCTCCAGTCTGTGGATGGGGCAAATGGAGCACTGAAAATGTGGGCCTTCTAGGAGACGAAGACAGTGTCAAAGCCTTCCCTGTAACCTCAGCACTCAGCACAACTAAGGTAGCACAACATACTACTACTGGTTGAATGACTGTCAGGTTGGAGATAGGGGTGGGGCCACGTGGAGTTGGGTGGACTTAACCATGGCTCCTAGGTGTCCCAGGGACAGTGAAAGCAGCTCCCCCATGCCCTCAGTAACCCCGAGTGACAAGCAGCCTTCTCCCTTGTGTGTTTCTAGAACTACTTTGAGAGCTACCTGGCAGTTGCCTCCACTGTGCCCTCCCTGCTATGCCTCATGGCCAACTTCCTGCTTGTCAACAGGTAGGTCACCGTCCTCCCTCCCCTGACCTTCGCCCTCTGCCTCCTTCATTCCCCTCTATTCTACAGCAGGGGTTTTCATCTTGAATGGTGGTCCCCCAAATTGGAGCCAGGCAGTTCATCCTTGCCATGCAGTTTACAGATTGGAGCAGGTGCCCGAGGCTCCAGTCTTGGGTCAGTGCTCATTTTACAGCCACTTACGGTGACTCCAGGTAAGGTCCATCCATCTCCCTTTGAGAGACCTTAGGACCGCAGGCCCTTGCAGCCAAGACAGTGTGTGGCTGTGTTGTAGGCCATGACCTGAGGAAACCGTTCTTTCTTTCATGTGCTCTGAGAGCAGCCGAATGCTAACTGCACCCACTGAACTGCCCTGCATGTGGGAAATAGTCACTTCACACTCTGTGATATGTTGATGATACCATCTGATGTGTCACCCCCTCACAGTGGATCTCATAGGTCATGATTCAGACAGACTTCTGGGTACACCATGAGAGAAGGAATTATTTGAGAGAAAAGTAAGTTGATAATGGCCCATAGCCTCTTCCTGTCCAGTCTCATTTGACTTGACAATCACAACAGTGCTAGTACCTTATTTGCATTTTCCTGAAGCTGCCTCTAGACAATAATGTGGACTCAATGTGGTCCAAAATTCTGGGCTTCCCTTGAGCATGTCTCATAGAAACCTCAGATCCCTGGTGACAAATTTATTTAACTCTGGTCCCTCAGTTCTTGGTTCTCCTGCTGAAAAAGCATTCTAAGACAGATCTGGCCTCAGCCAGCGTGCTGGGATTGATTAGTAATGTCTGCTCTGGGCACAGGAGAGAAGAGCAGAATGCATCCTATGTGCATTCTAAGCCCTGTGTGTATGGAGCAGCCTTTCAAAACACATTATGGTATAGGGCACAGTTGTATGTATAGTAGATGCCAAAGTGTAGTTAGTGGCTTGCAACAGTAATAATAATTAGTTTCTTTCACTGTCTGGGGTTCTGGAGGCAGCCAGGCTGCACTGGAACATGCTGATGCAGTCAGACAGCAAAGTGGCTGGAGACACTTATCCTTTCCCGCCTCCCTGTCTCTCCTCATTGGCTTGTTCACATGGGGTCAAAGACTGTTCCCATTGTGGCTGAAGAGCAAATGTTCCGTGAAAGCCAGGGACAAGCCACATAGTGTCACTTTTGTCACACTCAACTGGTCAAGGTTGTTACAAAACCTCTTCCATTTTAAGGAGACAGAGACTCCATTTCCCCTCCAAGTCAGTGGTTCTCAACTTTCCTAATGCTGCAACCCTCAAATATAGCTCCTTGTGTTATATGACCTCCAATGGTAAAATCATTTTTATTGCTACTTAATAATTGTAATTTTGTTACCATTATGAAATCTTCTTAGGAAACTCCTATGAAAGGGCTGTTGGATGCCTCAAAGAAAGGGCCATGACCCACAGGTTGAGAACCACTGCTCTAAGACCACCAATGTAGTTTGAGAGAGGGAAGAATTCAGCTTCACCTCCTGGCCCCTAGGGCTACCTGCAGAGGTCTCCTTCCCAGATTCCTAGACTTCAGACACACACTCTTTCGGGGTGCAAGTGATAAGGGAACATTCGGAGTATCTCTTAGTTCAATATAGCCTTTTGGGGCTCCCAGTGAGCCTAGATGGGGAGGGGAGGAGCAGGAAGAGGCTGCAGAGAACGCAGGGACCACCCTTACAGCTACCCAAGCCAGTGACTTTTGGGTTTCTGAGTTGCTAATCAGATGAAATTCACACACCACAGAGGATAGTTTTTAGAAAGGAAGGTATAGATAAGTAGACAGGAGACGTTTGGGGGCGGGCAGAGCCCGTGTTTAACAAGAGGGGTCCCAGGAAATATGGTACCATGGAGTTGCTAGTGTGGAGCCCCATGAAGGACTTAAGGCAGAGACTTCAATGAGCATGGGGAGTGGGATGAGGTGATCAGTCCGGTTAGTTGGCTCATCCATGAGGTGTTCAGGTATCTCTCCTTTGTTCTGATGAAATCTTCAAGTATAGCTTCCAGCCAAGCCTAAGAGATAACAAGGGACCAGGGACCAAGCCTCTCCTGGCATTCCTGGCCTCCAGCAAAGACATTCTCAGAGTGGCTGTTCTGGGGTCCCTGCTCCACCTGGCCAGTGTCTGTCTCCTGCTCTCCTGGCTAAGCTCTGACTTGGGTGTTCCCTCTGCACTGCCAGCCACTGAAGACAGAGTAGAGTTCTCGACAGTGCCCAGAGAGAGGAGAGGAAGGGTATCAGAAGAAGGCAAGAAAGACAAGAGCTCCAGGTGGCGGTGGTGCATGCCTTTAATAATGCGGGCGGATCTCTGAGATCAAGGCCAGCCTGGTCTACAGAAACAGTCAGGGATGTTACACGAAGAAAACCTGTCTTGAAGAAGGAAGGAAGGACAGAAGGAAGGAAGGAAGGAAGGAAGGAAGGAAGGAAGGAAGAAAGACAGAGAGAAAGACAGACAAGAGCACTTGCAATAGCAGGCAGGCCCACCCCGCCCACCTCTGTCCTTCCAGGTCTTGTGACTTCTCTATTTACTTGCTCTGTGGCCCTGGGCATTTATCCAGATAGGACAGCTCACTTACCTGGGTGTGAGAATCCCTACCCCTTTTAGATCCAAGCCACTATCTAACAAGGGGGCAGTATGCATAACTATTACCCCACACTGCGTCTCCATGTGCATTGACTTAGGCGCCACATCACTGATGTTCTCCTTGGTGGCCGTGGATCCAGATGCTGGCCCAGTTCTGGAGTGGTGTCAGCAGTACAGTGAAAAGTCCCTCTTGGGATCTCGGAGGTGACATCCAGTCACAATAGCCAGTCAGTCAATCAGAGGCCCTGCTTAAAGGAACCACTCAGGCGACCACCTCAGGTTGCTTGGCTACTAAGGCTAGAGCAGGGATCTACTCCAGAAGGATCTCACCTTGTCTACACTTGAAACCTGGAGTACTGAGTGCTTAGTTCCTAATGTTGTAGCCTCCAGGGCTAGACGTCTGGCTGCTAGGCAGGAGGAGGGTGGTTGGGAGATGGGGGACACTGGGAAAGGGGTTCCACAGGTTCCCTAGCCCAGGGTGCAGGCAATGTTTGAGGGCCATGGGAAAACAGCTCTCCAGCCTCGATTGTTGCCAGCTGCCAAGGACAGTTTAGGGCTAAGCTGTTTTTTATTTAATGTGGGAGATTGAAATGTCTTCTTCTCTCCCTCCTGGAGCACCCTGGCTCCTCTGACTGGCTCATCTATAATCGCCAAGTGTTTTATTATGTTAAATCTGCAGCTTTATAAATACAGATGAACTAGATTTACATTTTGGAGGAAATCAGTCCCCTGGGGTCCTGAGCTCTCACTGGCTAGGGAGTGAAGTGGGGATGGGGATGGGCCGCTGCCCTCCTCCAGAATCGTGGGGTGGGGTGGGGTGGCCTCTCAGCCGGCCGCTTGCCTGGTGTTCTACATGGAGTAGAACAGCGGGCAAGCCTAGCCGACCCTAGAATCCCAGGAGCCTCCATCCCAGGCCACCCTCCCTGCAGGAGGCAAGGCAGTGTGTGCTCCCACAGGGTCTGTAAGACTGGCCTCCAACTTGATGGCACCCAGCTCCAGAGCAGTGAGAATCGTTCCCATGAGGGCCTGGGGGGCTCTGCTGGTGGGTGCTGAGGCAGCACCTGGGCATCTGAGGGACAGCCACAAGCAGTCCGGTGGGTGCCTTTGCTGTTTGCTCCTCTTGGGGGGCCCTGAGTAAGAAGCCACCAATTCCTGCCAAAGCCCCAGGCACCCCACAGGGTCCTATCACCGTAACTTCAGGGAAGTGGCTGGCAGCAGAGGGGGGTGTGCAGCCGGGAAAGGCCTTGCGCTGCCTCCCCCTCTGTAGTCAGTCTCTGCCTCCAGCAGTCCTCACCAGGTACCCCCAAGGTGTCACCAAGTGGATTTCCTCAGTAGGACCTTCATATCACTTAGACCAGCCTCGTTTGGGAGATGAGAAGGAAAGAAACAGAGAGAGTGAATGTCTGTCTAAAGTCTCACAGCAAATCCATGACAAAGCCAGGTAGTATGCTAGCTCCTATCTTGTGGGTGGGTAAGTGACTCCTTATCCATGAAGACAGGGCTCTGTGGGACAGTTAAGTGTGTAGGGTCACCTTGAGCATCCCATCTGAGGCTCGGCTGCAAGCCTCCAGGGTACTGGGGTTCGTTTATCACAATAGCTCTTGTGGGCTCCAGGGGTCCAGCCACTCCACTTGGCCCTCCCTCCAGCCCTACCTTGTCTGAAGCCCCACAGAGTCTAGTTTGGGGTCCTAGTGGTTATTAAGGCTAGAAGTTTCCCAAAAGCAGACTCCAGAAGAGAAGGCATGATCACCAGTCCCACCAGAGCCCTCTGGAATCTAAGGAGCCCCCCCCTCCCGCCGCACCTCAGAGGTAGGCAGGATGGGTATCCACCAAGCTCACCAGCCCTTGTCTGTAGGCTGCTGTAGGGAAGTCAGTAGTCTGTCATGTCCAACTTAACCCTGGGCCATAATGTCCTGAAAGTGTCTCTGGAGTTTCAGGCCGCGTTGGCCTCCTGCCTGGAGCCCTGATGTCTCTGTGGGTACGCACAGTAACAAAAGGCATGCAGGAAGTAGTCGTTTGTTCTCTAACTGAGAGTTAAAGTCAGACTTGCCCTCAGGCAGAGCTGGTCCAGGCAGTCTTCCTCTTCCCATGGGCTCTGTGCCTCGTCCCGGGCCATGTACTCCACATGCAGTTGGTGAGGCGGCAACCAGCAGCCGGACACTCCAGTTACTTACTGCATGGTCCACGGGACCATCCCCGGGAAGACTGAGCCGTGTGGGCCCCGTGCAGCCCCCTGACTTGTGGTAGCCAGGACCACAAGTGGCTGTCCTTTGAAACTGGACTGGTGTGGGTGGCATGGCCCGCCACTTCCATCATGCTGCCGTGAAGAAACACATTCTCCCAGAGACGAGGTACCGGCAGACTAGCCTGCAGACCCACCCTGCACCCCCTCTGAAGATTAAGGCCTACCTCATAAGGTAGATGGGACACTCGTATGCGGGCTGGGGTTCTGCCTGTCTCCAGCTCATCTCAGCGAGGCTTAGCCAGAATCTTGTGTCTTCTGAGGACATAGTGCTGTCTTCCTTGAGGCCCCTCAGCTGTGTCCTGAGATGCCACCAGCCCTCCTGCCAGAGTATCCAGTACTGGGATGCACTGAACCTCTACTCTGTCGTGTGCACGTGTGCAGTAGAGTCATCACCCAGGGTCTGTGTGTAAGACAGTCATCAAGACACAGGGTCACAGAAGAGCCTGGGCTGGGACTAAGCTCATCTAAGATCCCATCCCTGCTCCCAGGAACTCCCTCTGTGTCCTTCCCCTTACAAAGGTGGGACAGCCCCATCTCCCTCCAGCACTGAACCCCTCCCTCAGGATCCAGGAGTGGCATCAGCCAGAGGCAGGAGCTCCTTGTAATAACACTTTCTTCCCTCCATGCAAATCATTTCACACCTAGTTGTGTACACAGATCTGTCTTTTCCTACCTTATGAATTAGACTTCGTTGTTTTAACCCGGAAAACATCTCCGTATGTAATCTGGCTTTTCTCTCAGCCCCCACTTTCCCTCTGGCTAGTGGGGAATGGAACTGAACATCTAATCAGAGCTTATTCTAACCTGATGGTTTGAACGGCCTTGGGATGGTGTTCTCTCTGTTACGATGGAGACGCGCACAGCCATCTCTGATGTTCCCCATCCCTGCCCTCCTCCCTGGTAGGTGGGCGGTGGAGGTAGCTGGAGCGCTTAGCTTGGGTGCAGGGTAGTGCTTTTATGGAATGCATGGGTCCTGGCTCTGGACTGAGAGGGCATGGCCCCAGCAGCTGCCGTCCCAGCTAATAGTGAGGTGGAGAGCTTTAGACTCTGACGGAGCTGGGGTATGAGGTAAGTGAGGTGAAGAGCTTTAGACTCTGACAGAGCTGGGGTGGGAGGTGAGTGAGGTGGAGAGCTTTAGACTCTCACAGAGCTGGGGTGTAAGGTAAGTGAGGTGGAGAGCTTTAGACTCTGACAGAGCTGGGGTGGGAGGTGAGTGAGGTTGGGCATGGAGAAGAAAATTGGGCACAAGCCAAGTTGTGTGACATCAATGATGGTGATCCTCTTCCATTGCCCACTGCCAAATTTGGAGAAGAAAGCCAGGTGGGCTGTGAGATTTAAACACCAGATGGGCCTAACAGGAGGGTGATGATGAAGGAGGAGGAGGGGGGGCCTTTCCTGGTGTCCTGACTTTGAGCCTCGCAAGTTGGTGACAAGTGGCAGTGTCTACTGACCTTGCACTGGGCTGCATAAAGCTCTCTGGAGCCTCCCCCTCCGCCCATGGGTAGATGGAAATGGAAGCCAGGTCCTCAAGTCTCTTCTTGGACGTCACAGGGTTAGCGAGCAGGAAGACAGAGTCCAAGGCCAAGCGTCACAGTGTTGAAGTGGGCAATCCCCATGTTGAGCTCACCCCCTCTCTCTTGTAGCTCATGCCTGAGGAGAGTCCAACCCCCTCTATCGCTTCTGGTCCTCTCCCCAGGGTCCAGGTGCACGTCCGTGTTCTAGCCTCACTGTCCGTCTCACTGGCCATCTTTGTGGTTATGATTGCGCTGGTGAAGGTGGACACTTCCTCCTGGACCCGAGGCTTCTTCAGTGTCACCATTGTGTGCATGGCCATCGTCAGCGGCTCCTCCACCATCTTCAACAGCAGTGTGTATGGCCTGACAGGCTCCTTCCCCATGAGGAATGCCCAGGCACTGATATCAGGTGAGAGCCCACCGTGAGAGGGAGCCACAGTTGGTCTTCCAGAAAAGGAAATGTACCCTGGGTCCACCTTGTTTTCTTAGTGTCACCAAGCAGACCATCCCAGACTTGAGAGCTGAGAGTTGTTCATTCTGCTCAGTCTGCAGCTTGGACCGTGGATTGGGAAGACAGTTGGCTCTCCACTGCTCCACCCAGTGTCCACAGGGGTGACTTTATTAAGGTCTAGGGCTGGGTGGCGTTCCTTGTGGCCCTCGCTATGTTTGCCTGGGCTATCTTGTGGCATAGGTCTAGGTTGCACACAGTGTGAACATTAGAGAAAACCTGAGCAGCACTTCATTTTGATGTAGCCATGAAAGCCATAAGGGGACCAACTTCCATAGCCCTTGGCCCACCTCGACTCCAGATGAGTCTCTGTGGCTCCCTGGAAGGTGTAGAAGTTTTAGCAGCACAAGAGCAGGTAGTTGGAGATAGGATCACAGCCCTGATGGAAACCTCTGTACCTTCAAAGCATCAGTCCTGAAACCAGCCTTCTCTTATTTCCTCTCTCCCACCCTCCCTCCTTCCTACTTGTCCCTTGTCCTTTCCTTTCCTTTAGGTGCTCCTTTCCCTCCCCCAACTTTTCCTTCCTCCCTGTTTTCTGTCTGTCTTTCCTTTCTAGTTTCATGGAGGCTCTGCCCTCTGCCAGGGGCGGAAGGATGAACCAGACTGTGTCCTATCAGAGCCAATAGCCCAGTGACTAAACTCCTGGTTCCCTGAGACCATAACATGCTGTGGCTTGCCCAGGCCCCGACTTGGGGCATCTCTCTAGCTGAAGTCTGCAAGTGATGCTAAGCCAGTTACCGGGACTTTCGCTGTTTTATCTCTCACCTAGATGGCCCCACAAGGTAAACGGAGCTGGGTCAGTTAGCATCTGCTATATGTGAAGACCACTGTCCCCTAAAGCAAGCCTGGAGGCTGCTCTTCTCTCTGTCCCCATGTGTCCCTGGTGATCAGAAGGCTGCTTTAAACACTTGTCTACCTGAGAAGAATTGCACAATGTGCAGGACTGTGTCTATTAGTTAATTTGCCAGGTAGGATGTGGCAGGGATGACAAGTACCTTGACAAGCGCATACCCCCTCCCCGCTCTATACCAGTGCCAGACATCACTAATAGATCCCTATCTTTTCTCCTGAGCCTCTAATTCCCTCTCAAGCCAGCACTTGAGGCAATTACTCTCTGTGGATCAGAGTCTAGATATGAGCTCCGTCTGTTTGCCATTTTTGATATAGGATTAGGCTTCACTTCTATCCCAGGAAACCCTTGGGCCTGAAATAAAATAAAAATGAACTTGTCATTGAGTTTTCTGAGTACAGTCAACACGCTCCTGGCATTGCTTCAAGAAAGGAAGGTCTGGGCTGAGCAGAATGGCCATCAAACGCTAATCCCTCTGTCACCACTGGCCTCAAAAAGAGGCTCTTATCTCCTCATCTCCCTCCAGCCTGTTGGAGCTTTTCAATACAGCTTCAGCCCTGCTGGGTACTGGCAAGGGCAAGTGGCCCCTCTTGTCCACCTGTAGAGCTCCAGAGAAGAGTCTATCCTGGGAACTTTTTTTTTTAAGTTTATTTTTGGAAAAGTGGGGGATGCCAGGTATGGTGACACACACTATAACCTCAGGACATCACAGACTGAGGCGGGAGGGATGCATCAGATCAGGCTGGGATACATAGTGAGACTCTGTCTTAAAGAATAAAAGGGTAGGTGACATTAGGACTTAGATGTCAGCACTGGAGGAAGGTGATGATGTGTGGGGCCCTTACTGGCACCCGGCCAGCACCCTGGACCAACTGAGGTGCCTCAGTCTCCCAGCAGTCCCAGCCCCCTTTGCTTTCTGTCCAGAGGAGCCCATCTGTGAATTCTGTACATGTTGGCATCTGAGGAACAATTCATTTGTTTTGTGCTGGTGTTTTTTTTTTTCCAAAGCCCTCATTTGCATGTATTTCCATAACTGATGAGATAGTGGGAGTCATGAAGGATGAGCTCCCGGAGGCCCGCTTTGTGGCTGCTGATAATATTGTAGATTCAAGTTGGAAGGGAGAGGGGATCAGTCAGTGGGGCTGTTAAGATCTCTTCCTCCGGCGGCCACCAAGCGGCTCTCTGAGCTATCCCCCACTTCTTCCAGAGTGCCCAGGTGGAGATTACAGCTTCTCAGAAGTGGGTGCCCCCCTAGCAAAGGGTTTACCCCATTGCTGCTGCTTTGATGTGGGAAAGATGGCAATAGCCAGACAGTTAATTGGGAATCTGAAGATTTATTTGGCATTTGGCTCCTGTCCGCGTCAGACTCTGTTTAACATGTAATAATCCTTTTAATCCTTATAGTGGCCCAAAGGGGTGGGCACTAATAACACCCCACTTGCAGATGAGCAAGCTGAGGCCCAGAAAGGTCAAGAGGCTTGTCAGGGAGCACACGACCCAATGTGGTCAGACAGGGATTGGGTTCTGATGGTAGCGTGAGTCTCCTTGATCACTCTGCTAGTTTGTGTGTTTTGCCTGGCCTCAAGTCCTGGCTTCCAGCCCCACCTGGGCTGGTAGAATATATCTGGAGGAAGTTGGAAGAGTTGTCTATTGGAAGCTAGGGCAGTTCCTGCAGTGGGGGAGCAGCAGTAAAGTAGACAGAACACTTGCTCACTGTCCAAAGCTCTGGAACTCAGGTTGCAGGTATGCTCTCCTCCACCCCCAACCTCCTGTCCAGCTTCAGATGCTGTAAGCACCAAGGTGTTTCCAGTGTGTGTATGTGGGAATGTGGGGTTTCTGAGGCCGTGTGCCTTCCTGGGCCTATTGCGATGTCCTCGTGGTGTGTCTTGCTCTACACAGGAGGAGCCATGGGAGGGACAGTCAGCGCTGTGGCCTCACTGGTGGACCTGGCAGCATCCAGTGACGTGCGAGATAGCGCCCTCGCCTTTTTTCTCACGGCAGCAGTCTTCCTTGGGCTGTGCGTGGGGTTCTACCTACTGCTGCCCCGGCTGGAGTATGCCAGGTGAGGTTCCCCTGCCCTGCCCTCTGCATCTGGTCATCTGACTGCATCATAGGTCCCTGTCCTTATTGGTTGCCAATTCCCTAGGACTGTGAGTTTCAATAGGGTCATAGCATGTAGGAATTTTGTTTCAGGTTCCCAGTTGCTTGGTGAATTGGTCTTGGGTGGGAGACACTGGCTGTGATCACACCTCAGAACCAGTAGGGCCTACAAGCTTGGGGTTTGGGAAGACTGCATTGTGGAGGTGGGATTGAGCAGGAAAAATAAGGTTTTGTGTGTGTGTGTGTGTGTGTGTGTGTGTGTAAAATTTCTCAGGGTTTTGTGGGGGGGAGGGAGTGCTTAATTTTTAAGACAGGGTTTCACTCTATAGCCCAGGCTACCCTGGAATGCACCATGTAGCTTAGGCTGGCTTCAACCTCTGTGTAGTTAAGAATGACTGTGAATTTCTGACTCTTCTGCTTAAGAACCAGGATTGCATATGAGCTACCATGTCTGATTTATACATTGATGTAGATCAAGCCCAGGGCCTGATGGATACTAAATAAGCATCCTACTAAATGAACCACACCCTACAATCCCATTACTCCCTTCACCACACTGTTTTAGTTTAGTTATTTGGTTTTGAGACAGGGCCTCACTATGAAGCTCAAACTGGTCCCAAACTCACTGTAATCCTCTGCCTCAGCCTCCCAAGTGCCAGGATTTCAGGCCTCAGCCATCACATTCTGCTTACATTTTATATTTCTGTTGGCTTTTTTTTGGCTGTTTTGTTTTGTTTTGTTTTTTTAGTTTACCTAGACTTCCCCTTTCCAACATAAAACTCACCGTGTGTAGTGATCCTGGCTGGTTTTCTGTCCCTGCTCATGGTGTAGTCACCACCTCTGATCCAGAGACTGGGCTCCTGTTTGGCAGGCTGGCCAGGGATAACACAGGCCATCTCTAACAGCTTGTCCCTCCCACAGCATGTTGTGGGATCCTGGCCAAGAGGTTCCCAGGACTTGGGCTTTGCCTGCCGGGTCTCTGAAAACCCACAGTGGTTATGCTGACTCTGAGGTCTCCCTTTCAGTGTCCCTGGTTCAGTTCCATAGTGACCCACTGACCGTGTCACTGTCCCTCTACAGGTACTACATGAGGCCAGTTGCCCCAGTCCACGTGTTTTCTGGTGAAGACAACCCACCACAGGACACTCCCAGCACCTCCTCAGTGGTTCCTGGGTCCAGAGTGCTGCACACACCACCCCTCGGACCTATCCTGAAGAAGACAGCTGGCCTTGGGTTCTGTACCGTTTTCATCTACTTTATCACTGCCCTCATCTTCCCTGCCATCTCCACCAACATCCGGTCTATGTCGAAGGGCACTGGCTCTCCGTGGACCTCCAAGTTTTTCGTGCCCCTCACTGTCTTCCTCCTTTTCAACTTTGCTGATCTGTGTGGCCGACAGGTCACAGCCTGGATCCAGGTGCCAGGTCCTAGGAGCAAGGTGCTCCCTGCACTGGCACTGTTGCGTGTCTGCCTCGTGCCCCTGTTCCTGCTCTGTAACTACCAGCCTCGATCACACCTGACTGTGGTGCTGTTCCAGTCCGACATCTACCCTGTGCTCCTCACCTGCCTGCTGGGGCTTAGCAACGGCTACCTGAGCACGCTGGTGCTTATCTACGGGCCCAAGATTGTGCCCCGGGAGCTGGCTGAGGCCACGGGCGTAGTGATGTCTTTCTACATGTCTGTGGGCCTGATGCTGGGTTCAGCCTGTGCAGCCCTGCTTGTACACTTTATCTAGGAGGGGCGGTGAGGACACAGGTACTGTGTGAGACTTGGGCCCTTGGGGAGAGGCACAGGGAGAGCTGAGGTCTCTCAGATGGTGTTAAGCAAGGGGCCAGTGTTCCGTTTGGTGCAGAGCAGAGCCCACTCAGGATGCCTTTCTCTAGGGGTGCTTCTGAGCCACACCCTCGCACCACAGGATGACATTGCAGACACAGCCCAGCGTGGTGGCTCATACTGATAATCCCAGCATTCATGAGGCTGAGCTGGAGTACTGCTGTGAGTTCAAGGCCAGTCTGGCTACATAGTGAAACTCTATCTCAAAAAATAAGCTAAGACAGAAAACCTGAGACATTCCAAACACTTCGAGAGAACACTCCAGAGTCATTTGAAGGACACGGTTGTCGTAGCTAGGGTATAGTGCTTATTTAGCAGTCACGAAACCCTGATTCCCATCCCCAGCACTGCATAAGCCAGACATGTTAGTGAAAGCCTGTACTCCTAGCACTTGAGAGGTGGAAGCAGGAGGATCAGAAGTTCAAGGTCATCCTCAGCTAGATAGGGAGTTTGAGGCCAACCTGGGCTATATGAGATACTGTCTCAAAACAAAACAAAACAAAACAAAAAATACAGTTGTAAAGAGGGGGGCGTGTTACCTTTGTGACTAATAAGGAGCCTGTGTCTAACTTGTGTTGTCACAAGGCCAGAACCCAACCTCACTCTTTCCAGCTGACAGCAAGGTGGGAGAGAATCTTGAGTGTTCTCTCTACTGAAAGAGGCCCCTGGATTTGAGGTCCCCTCTGCAATGGCCAGTACTCTGGACTTAGGGCCCACACATATGCTAATCCCCTGCCTCTGTGGGTTGAGAGTAGACCAACCGTCTGGAAAGGGTCACAAGGCAGGCTTCCTAATACTTCTTGCCTAGGTCTGGGCTCCTGAAGTCTGAATCAGGGATTGGGCCTTGGAAGACCTGGTCCCCGGATGAGTACCATGTGGCCCAGTGCCCTGTCACCTATTTAGGGTAGGGGAAGTCTTTTTAGCAGTCATGTTTACAGCCTGTTGGGGCACTTGGGGCAAGGGCATAATAAATCTTGGGGTTCTCAATGTGAGCCATGTCAGTGTCTCCATCAGTTGCCTTGGCAGGAACTAGTGTGCTAAGATCTGGTGATTTGGAGAGATGTAGGGACAGGTACAAGAAAGCCAAGGGTTTGGGCACACTACCTTTCCCCATCCTAACAGACACATGTGTTTCCATGGTAATTCTAAATCCAGTCTCATAGACCATGAAGATTAACCATTGTCTATGTTGAAGAACTAGTAAGAGTGAGGCCCTTCCACGTTTAGCTTGAAGAGGCTAGCATCAAGTCCTTCTTGAGAGTAGGCATGTGACCTTGCATGGGGTGAGCAGAGGCAGGTCCAGACAGCTGTGACCCCAGGAAAGAGGCAGAGACTCCCTCCTCCACCCACCCATCCTACATGCATCCCTAAATATCACACGACTACCAGCGAAGACGCACACACGTGAGCTGAGACTGGGCAGGAAGACGTCCTGCCTAAGGCGTTACTCAGCAGGGCCCGCCGTCTCCTTTGCTGTCATAGTTTTCCAGAGTCGACACAGTGCTGACACTTGCTCAGCAGAACTTGGGGTTGCTCTGTTCTGATTCAATTCCCGATGGTTGCAGTTGGGGCAGCTTCAGAAGAGGACCTCCTGACTCAGTCTCCCGGGTTGAGTGACAATGCCCCCTCACATTCGATATGCTGCGGGAAGCGATGTGAATGCTGAGTACTGGTTTGACAGGTGCCAAGGGCTCCTGAGAGGGTGTTTCTCTGGGAGAAGGAACGGCTGACTTGGGGGATCAGTGTTCTTTCTCGGGGTTCCTGCAGACAGAGGAGAGCTCATCCCCAAGACATGGCTACCCTCTGAGCCGGGAGCCGACGGGGGAGCATGGGCTGGGGGATCCTGCAGATGCTGATTAAGTGGGAGGCAGTGTAATCCCCCCAGTGGCATCAGCTTATGCCCCCTGCCGTCATCGGCTTCACACCCGCACTCCAGCCGAAGATGGGAGAAGACACCCTGGAGGGGTTTCTAAACTTGAACCTAGTAAAAAGCAAAGGGAAAAAATAAACCTTCCATACACATGCACACACCCTTCCCCCCGTAATGCTTGGATGGTCTGGGATGTGGGTCTAGTGGTGACTCATCCCAACCTTGGGTGTGCTAGAATTGAGCCATGTGTCTGGTTAAAGAGAAACAGCAGTGTATGTGTGTGTGTGGTGGATTGCTCTCTCATGCTGTGGTGAAGGGTTACCTCTCAGGGACAAGGGTAGCCTCCAAGTGGTTGGGAAGGAGTTGATTTGACAGCATCCAGACAGAGGGATGCGTCCATGCTGCTCAGCTGGCAGGGTTATCTCCTTTTGACTCACCTGAGCGGACATATTCCCAAAAAAAGCCACCCATCTCTGAGAGGGGAGGAGGAAAGAAAGGTACATTTCCAGGCAGGGGCAGACACAGGACTGTAAGTTGTGAGCAGCAAATGGGTTTAGCTACCCTGCTCCCAGTCTTGAGTCTTCTAACCATGGTGACCTTGTAGAAGCACTTCAGACATTCAGTAGTGTAAGCATCTTGCTGTAGAGGGGGATTCCTCTATGCTAACTCCCTGCCCTGAGCTGTAGATGAATTGAGCAATACTCAGAGAAATTCAACAACTTTCCCAGGGTCACCCAGTTACTAAGTCGCACAGATGGAAGTCAAACCTAGTTCTTCCTGGACTCACAAGCCCTTGCTCACCCTCCTTTCTTGCTCTCCTGGCTCAGCTTGAACTTTCTCCAGGGTTCTGGTGTTGCGTTATTGAGAGAGGGTGTACTAGGAAGCCCAGCTTGGCTTCAAACTCAAGATCCTTCTGCCCCAGCCTCCCAAGCGGTAGGCTCAACTGTCATCCCTTAAGCAGCTAAGCGCTATGCCTGCCTTTCCCTCCTTGGTTCTTTATGCCCATTGCTCTTTTCTGTTTTCTGCCGTCTGGATATATTGCTCAGAACCCTGGCCTGAGAGGTGAGCTGGTTAGACCCCTGCTGGCCAGGGCCCGCTTCAATCCTGTTCCAGCCCAGAGCACATCCTCCTCCTCTTGCTATCTAGGATCACTAAGGCTCCGACCCACTTTCTCTCATGAGCCCTTTCTTCCCCTATACCAGCCAGGACTGTCACTCCAGCATGGGCAGTGAGACATGGGACACAGTGTGGGTGTCAAAAAGTCTTACTCTCACTAGAGTGCAAGTCAGCCTTCCTGTATCTTGATTCCTTGTCTCTAAAACAAGGACAGCAGTCAGTCCCATGACAGTGACAGTGTGCCATGCCCGCCCCCCCCCCACACTGGACAGTGCAGCACATGTTATAGGCACCATCAGCAGGTACACAGCTCCCACCCCAGCCTGGTCACATGATAGGTAGAGAAGTAGCCTTTGCCCTAGGCAGTGACCACAAATTAGGCTGCTCTGAGCTTGATGCCAAATGATGGTGAAGATGACACGTTCTTAGCCCTCAGCAAACTTGGTTTTCTTCCACTTTTTTGCTGCTTAGTCAGCTTGTTTCAATGCCCAGCAACTTCCCTCTGGGTGCCCATACCCTGCCCAGTGCTCAGTACTCATCCCTGCCTGGCTCCAGGCCTTGCTGGCAGCTGTCTATGCCAACACCCCTGGGTCTGCCTCCCAGACACACCCAGCCTGGAGTCAGGAGCACCGGGGATGGAAAGGGAAGACATGGGAGCTGAGCTGCTGCTCATTCTGACCCACAGACAAGCCACCTCACTCCCATTGCTAAGCCTAAGCTAGGAAATGGCTGCCCCCACCGCGAGCACAGATACCCTTAAAAACAAAGAAAGAAACAACAAAAAGGGTACCCACCTTCGGGACAAGAGCCTGGGCCCTTGTCCAGTTTGGTGGTGTGGATTTGCATCTCACCTCTTGCTGACCATGCGATGGTGGGCCAGTTCAGTGTCTGCCTCCTGTTCCCCAATCTGTCAGTGTGACTATGGTACAGCCCCTTGCACAGGACATGGCAGAATAGCACCCAGTGCACTGGACTGGATGTGGCCCCTACTTGTAGATGGAAACCCTAGCCCCCCCCCCATTCAGTGATATTAGAAGGTTGGGGATCTTAAAGGTGATCTCATAAGGAAGGTGGAGGTCTCATGAATGGGATCAGTAGCTGTATGAAAGAAGTCCAAGATCGCTCCCATCCCTTCCAGTGAGAACCATGGAAGAAGACGGTTATCAGTGATGTGGGGAGCAGACACCAGGAAAGCCTTGGTGTCGGACTTTCTGGCCTCCAGGACTGTAAGACAAATCTTTCTATTGTTCAGAAGCCACTAAGTCCATGCCGAAATCAGCATCAGAAACGAGGTTCTGCAGGGCTCTGGGTTGCAGGGAGATAAGCACAAGGACCTGAGCTCAATAACCCAGTGCTCCCCCAGAACATTTGTAATCCTAGCACCAAGGAGGCAGAAAGAGGCAGGTCCCTGGGGTCTACAGGCCAACCAGCCTAACCTATGTGGCAAGTTCCAACAATGAAAGTGGCTGGTATCTGAGCAGCAGTTCTCCAGGTTGCCCTCTGGTCCGCATGCACACATGCTCACAGCAGCCCCACCCCTCACAAGAACATGCACATACACATATTCACAAGAACTGGGCTAGGGGAATGGGCTAAGAGTTTTGTGGGACATAGAAGAAAAGTCCTATATTGCTGCAAACACACCTTTAAAAGAGATTCTGGTGATGATTCAGGGGAGAAGAAGTGGGAGCTGTGTTATAGAAGGCCTAAATAGTAGAGAATCCCTGGGTGATGCTGACGTAGTAACGGATATCAGAAAAGACCTTCAGCTAAGGCTCGTGGCTGAAGTAGGAGCACCCTGCTGAACAGTGAGGATTGCATGATGAGGAGGCTTGGAGCTCTGTGAGGCCCAGTGGGTGGGATATAGTGGTTTGAGTGACAATGTCCCCAATAGGTCTAGATATCTAAGTACTTGGTCCCCATTTGGTGACTCTGTTTGGGAATGTTTAGGAGGTGCATCCTTGCTGGAGAAAACGTGTCACTGGGGGGTGGGGTGGGGCAGAGCATTCTAGTGCCTCTGGTGTCACATGCCCTTCCTCCCAAATTCTAGGCTCATATTTGAGTCTTAATCTGGGGTCCTGGGTGGGATGAGGAAGTTATGGTGGTCATCATTCTAAGACCCATTTCCAGGTCTTAATCTGGGGTTCCTAGGATGAGGAAGTCATGGAACCCCTGTGGTAATGGGCAGCAGTGTATTCGCCTCTCTTGGGGACAGGAATCGTGGCCTTCATCAGATCACGAAAGAGTTAATGATGGAGCATGGCACCGGTGCTCCTGGGCACCAAGCAAGCCCCTGTAACCTGTGTAGACCAGCTTCTGCTCTAGCATGACCTTGAGCTCACCCTTTCTAGTTGGCCAATGACCTTGGACAAGCCTCTGTAGCTCTGGTTCCTCATGTGCCTGTCTCCATGACTTCTCATAAAGATTGATCCACATACACCTGGTCACCCAGGCTAGAGGGTCACTGGTCCTCCCTAGCACTGGTTCCACAAGGAGTGACAATGGAGACAGATGGTGACTCAGGTCTAGAGCCTTTCTTGGCTGTCAGGTGACATCATGGGTGAGAGAGTTTGCTCTCTGCTCTCAGAGAGAGGAGGATAGCCTATAGGGAAACTGGAGGGTGGGGCAAGCCTACCCAAAGTTTCAGTTCCGGCCAAACACTAAGAGCCAGTCACCTCCCACACAACGCAAGAAGCCGCTCTGGCACAGGCAGAAGCTAAGAATCTGAAAGGGCCTGATAGGTGCCCCTGTGGCATCTTCCCGAGGCCTGTTTGAAGTCACCTGTCTGCTCTGATGTCTGAGAAACAAAGCAACTATCAGTCACTGAGTCACCCAGAGCAAGCATTGGCGTGGACACTTGAGAGGAGCCAAAGCGGAGACACAGGCACGCAGCCGCACACAGCAGAGGCAGCTGACTGAGGTTGAAGCCCAGGCTGCTGGCCTCTGGTTTGAGGCCATTCCTACAGCAGCAGGTCTCAGCAGAAACCTCAGGGCCCCATGTCATAG